TCATGAGACCACTTGTCCTCAAACTCCTCAACAGAATGGTGTTGCGGAACAAAAAAATCGACACCTCCTTGAAACAGCACGAGCTCTTTTGATTGGAGCTCATGTTCCTCGCCACCATTAGGATGATGCTATAGTCACCGCAGTCTACCTCATCAACCGAATGCCTTCCAAAGTTTTAGACTTCCGGACTCCATTACAAGCACTTGCCCAACATGGGCCCTTACCCTCCGTTCAGATGCTTCCGCCCCGAGTCTTTGGTTGTGTGGCATTCGTCCACCTCCATAAGAATCAACGTGGCAAACTTGATCCATGTGCTCTCAGATGTGTGTTTGTAGGCTATGCTGCCCATCAGAAGGGATACCGATGCTATCACCCCTCCAGTCGTCGTACATATGTCACTTTGGATGTCACTTTTATGGAATCGGAAATGTTTTTTCATGATCCGATGTCCAACTCTCCGCCTCACAGAGACATACAAAGAGAACCACTGGGCAAGGAGGCCCTGGAAATTCAAGAACTTGAAGATTGGAGCAAAACGGATCCCAAAAGTCCAGAAGAAAATGTAACCTGCCCACCCGCGACCGGTCGCCAGGAGCCCAGCGACCGGTCGCATAGAAGTACTGAAGGTGAAATTCGACTCTGTCCAAATCCGACCGGTCGCCAGGAGCCCAGCGACCGGTGGCATCAAAGTACTGAAGCTGAACATCGAATCTGTCCAAATCTGACCGGTCGCCAGGAGCCCAGCGACCGGTCGCGTCAAAGTACTGAAGCTGAACATCAAATCTGTCCAAATGCGACCGGTCGCCAGGAGCCCAACGACCGGTCGCCCCAAATTGCTGGAAGTTTTCGAAACTGCCCAAATGCGACCGGTCGCGATGAAACCAGCGACCGGTCGCTCCACAGCAGAGAGCACAATATTTTTTCCTACTTCGCCGACGATAATGATGAAGACCCCCCTCACATCTCAGTACCAGCTGATCAATCTCCTGAGAATACTCCTGAGGTACGTGATTCTACTACATCTACTGTTTTAGTTGATGAAACTGTTAGATATCAATTACCCGATACACAAAACCGTGGAAAACCGCCAATTCGGTATTCACCGGATAATGGCAAGGCATCGAAGTATCCAATTGCAAACTATATTTCTGCGGAAAAATTATCGGCACCCCTCCAAGGCTTTGTACACCAGTTATCCGCAATTCATATTCCAACCAAAGTGAGTGAGGCATTGAAGGATCCAAAATGGGTTCAAGCAATGAAGGAGGAGATACATGCTCTGGAGAAAAATCACACATGGACACTGGAGAATTTACCTCAAGGAAAAAGGACTGTTGGATGCAGATGGGTTTACACCTTGAAATACAATACTGATGGGTCAATTGAACGTTACAAAGCACGACTTGTGGCAAAGGGATACACGCAAACATATGGTATTGACTATGAAGAAACCTTTGCCCCTGTTGTAAAACTTAACACCGTTCGAGTGCTATTGTCCATTGCAGCAAATCTTGATTGGCCTCTCCACCAATTTGATGTGAAGAATGCCTTTTTCCATGGAGAACTCACAGAAGAAGTCTACATGAATATCCCACCAGGATATGTTACATCTACTCATGCTAATGTGGTGTGCAGATTACGAAAGGCATTATATGGATTGAAGCAGTCTCCTCGGGCATGGTTTGGGCGTTTTACCTTGGCAATGAAGACTTATGGTTTCAAGCAGAGTAATTCTGACCATACTCTATTCTTAAAACACAAGGGAGGAAAGGTAACGGCTCTCATCATTTATGTCGATGATATGATTATTACTGGGAATAATAAGCAGGAAATTTCTCAACTACAAAAAGGTTTGGCAAAGGAGTTTGAAATGAAAAATCTTGGTGGACTCAAGTACTTCTTGGGCATTGAAGTTGCTCGATCAAAGCAAGGCATATTTCTCTCACACAGGAAGTATGTTCTAGATTTATTGGCAGAAACTGGCATGTTAGATTGCAAACCTGTGGACACTCCAATCGTTCAGAATCACCACCTTGGGGAATATCCCAATCAAGTACCCACTAACAAAGAAAGATATCAAAGATTGGTGGGACGACTGATCTACCTATCCCATACCCGACCCGACATCGCGTATGTTGTAAGTGTTGCTAGTCAGTTTATGCATTATCCAAGTGAAGATCATATGGATGCAGTTCTTCGGATTCTTAAATATTTGAAGTCCACACCAGGAAAAGGACTTATGTTCTCTAAAAATGGTCATCTGAATATTAGTGGCTATACAGATGCAGATTGGGCAGGGAATGTCACTGATAGACGATCAACATCAGGGTACTTCACATTTGTGGGAGGTAACTTGGTTACTTGGAGAAGCAAGAAACAAAATGTTGTTGCTTTGTCTAGTACAGAAGCCGAATTCAGAGGAATCACTACTACAAAAATTGAAATAGACGACGGTAATCCACCGTCGTGTATTTGGCTTTTCAACCGTCGCGAAATCGACCGACATCTTTTGATTCATAAAACCACGACGGTAAATCCCCGTCATCTATTATTTGTAAATACGACACTTTTACGCAAAACTGTCGTCTATTATATGTAAATAGACGACGGTTTTGAGTAAAACCATCGTCTATTATATGTAAAGGCGACGGTTTTTTTAAAGAACTATCGTCTATTTGATGTAAAGACGACGGTTTTTGTGAAAAAACTGTCATCTATTTGATGTAAAGGTGACCGTTTTTTTTTAAATAACTATGTTTTATTATATCCAAAGACGGTATTTTTACAAAGCGTCGTTGATGAAATGGAAGGCATAGAATCTGTTTGTTCGAAGAAAAGGGAAAGGGGTCCAGTTGTGTTGTGGCCATATTCACCAAAAAGGTCCCTTGCCTCTTATGCTTCATTCATTGATCAAGCAAATGATGTCGGACAAATAGAAAAAGACAACAAAAGGCACAAGAGCATCTGTAATTGGGGAAAATTATGTACTAGCTCTCTCTGTAAATTGTGTACAAAGTGTTTCAAATCTCTAAACTTCTCTTACTAACTCTCTTCTTTCCACTACTCTGTTTCACTACCTACTTCACCTACAACAATTTTTTCATCATTTCACAATTTTTTTTACACCTCCAAGCAAAACAACCAATGCTCACTTCCAATTTGCAAGCAAGAACCACCACACAACAAAGTTCACAAATTCACTTTTGCTTAGTTCTGAGACCTGCACAGAGTAAATATGCAATTCAGCCCATTGCCACAAAACAACTGCCCCATAAATCCACAGAAGATCAGCAGCAGCATCATAAATTCACAGAAGCAATATCAGCAATTCATACCTCATCAACACGATCCACTAAACATTCAAAAGGCCCTTCCCACATGGAAAGCATGCTCTCCAGCCAGCTTCCCCCACATTGGTCTTCTCTCCAATGTCCTTCAATTCAATGCAGAACGCACAACTAGGACTGAGCATTATCATCATCTGAGTCACTCCCTGATGAACTACCAGAATCCGAATCTGTAACAAACCCAATCGCCACAAGCATTTAGTTTTTGTTTTTTCAATGCAGCAATAATTAAAGTTGTTTTACACCAATGCCAAATCAAAATTGCAGCATTGGGTTTATACCGCTTGATGAGGAGGAACCACTGCTGGAACTGCTGGAGCTACTTGAGCTATCACTACTGGCATGGCCTCCCCCAACATCTTTCTCAATCTCAACTGGTGGAAAGCTGCTCATTGGCATGTCATCACCAATGTCCACATCTTCGTCTCCTGCTTCACCTTTCTTTGCCCTCTTTGGCTCTGTAGTTGCTGCAACATCAACTTTCTCACTTACAGGTAATTCCTACACAAAATCACAACCCCAATGAGCAAACATTGTCCAAACGAAATGACAGTATAGACACAATGCCAATGTAAATAAACTTCAAAATTCAATCAGTTATTTACCTCGTGGCCTCTGTTGGAAGCAATGTTGCTATTGCTGTTGCTTTTGTTGTTGCCCATCAATGCTTGCCGCTTAATCTTGCTAACCATCTTCTTCCAATTGGTCACAAGCCGATCAAGCTCCCAAAGGGTCTCTGTATCAACAGCCTCAATGTCAAGCTCAATCTCATCCCCATCCTGCTTCAAATGCCCATTCCTCTTCTTTATAATCTGCACAACCTGCTCCATCTTGTCCTGAGGCAAACTCTGCAACCCAACTCCCAACTTGTGCTTCTCCTCCATACTCATCTCCCTCTTATTTGGGTCCTTAGCCTTGGGTTTCGGCTGCTTCAACGGCTTCACACCTGGGCCCTTCACCTGTGAATTCTTCCGTACCGGTGACGATTGCACCAATGCTGGGTCTGGGTTCGATGAGCTCACTGGGGCCTGAACCGGCGGCGCTCGAACTGGGGGAGGCCGAACCAACTCAGGCTTTTTCTCGATCCGTACAGGTGTCTCCCTCTTCGGAACCCTCTCCGGCTCAACATGGTTCCAAGAACTCGCCTGCAATTCCTCATCGGAACCCTTTTCCGACCGAAACCCATCTCCCGATTTCTCATTCAGAGGCTGAAACAACTCCTCAAACCTCAATCGAAGCAGATCGGCAAACCCATAGACCTCGTGCCCTTGGGGATTGTACCGCATGGCATTCTCGAAAGTCAATCTCACATCTGCAGCGAAATCGAACGGCGAAGAATAGATACTCTTGGCGAGATTCGTCTTCACGGTGCCAAGATCCATGGGATTTTTGATTATGTCGTAGTAATCGTGAAGCCCCATAGTCACAACGTCGACTGGCTTGTTGAAGATCCATGCGTGCTTGTGCTTCATCAGCTTGGACAAAATCAAGCCACAATTTTTCATCAAATTCCCATTCTCCAAATGAGACCGCTTGGAATTGGAATTTGATTCCTTTCCGTGAGCAATCGGCAAAGGTCGTTTCGACCCAACAATCTTCTTGTTGCCGATGGGCTTCTTGTGGGGCGGCTTAGGGTTGAAGTCGCCGGCTTCGATTCGATTCTTGAGAATGCGAATCTGGTCTAGCTCCGAGAGAAGACGGCCCTTTAGCTCCACCAGCTCCTTTCTCGAACAGCTCGCGATGTTGAAGCTGACGTATTGGGCCTGTGCGAAATTCATGTCGTTTGTGTTTGATCGGCGATGGTGGTTGATCGACGACGCATCGTCTGAGGCTGTCTGGGTGACGGCCGGCGACTCATCGTTGAAATCGGGGCGGTCAGCTTTGAATTGTCGCTTGTTAGGGTTAGGGTTACGGTGACTGTTTGAAGAAGAAAAGGGGACCTTCCCCATGAATCCTCCGGCTCCGGCTCCTCCACCTCGGGGCTGCTGCGGCCAATTGGGTTCGTTCCGGTTCGCTAAGACGGCGGATGCCATAGCTGTACGGTTTTCGAAGCTTCGTCCTCGGGTAGGGTTCCAGCTGAGCTCCGGCTAGGGATTCTCAATGCAGGTGATGGACCAGGCACCATGAATCGGCCTAGGCGTGACCCACACGCGCCATCAATCGATCCCACGCGCCGTCAGCTATTGGGGTAGAGAGACACAGAAGGTATGTGTAGAAAGAAGTTAGGGTTTGGGGATTTTACCCTAATCTGAGCGAGGAACGAGAGGAGGGCTAGGGCCGCTTCTTAAAGGCGGCCAGATCTACCCGAGGACGTTTCGGGCAGTTTGTGAACCGTCGATCGGGCTGGGGCAGTTGATCTCACGGTCAAAAATGAATCCCTTGCTGCCCCGGAAACTGACCGTTGATCTGTCAAGGACGGTGCGGATGGAAAAAGCAGACACACGTGGGGGATTCTGGAGCGTCCGATGGAGAGCGAGGTTTCCTCGAGGCGGGATCTGTGAATTTTGGATTTGATTTTGGGGTGAATTTGGCGTGAATGTGTCGTGCATTTAGGGTTTTCCAAATTATTTTGAAGCGTAGGGACCACCGGTGATGACGTGGACTGGGCTCGGTCATTCGCGATTGTGCGTCCCGCCGTGAACGAGAAGTTAAGCGCACGCGCAATGAGGGGCAAGTGACAGTGAAAACCCGTGTGAGTCTTCCCCTTTTTTTTTCAAGGGTAGTTTGGTAAAATCACATCTGATACCATACGGGGTTATGTTATGAGGAACGACAAGAATATATCAGCCTCATAGAGACATTTGAAACGACAAGAAATTTCGCCCCCCTCCTTCCCCCACGGTGGAAATAAAATAAAATAAAAAACTAAAAAACCCCTGCTCTTGAATTTAAAACAAAAACAATTTTGGAACAAACAAAAAAGCTATAAGTGAATTCTATTTTCTCTTTTTGGAATCCTGTAATTTTATTTTGTTTTATTTATAAAAAAAGAATTTAATTTTCTCTTCGAATTTTGATACGCAAAATAACCCTTTGATGATCATGCAAGCGTCACTATATATATGATTTTGAATTATTATTATTATTCTTTATTTATTTATTTATTATGTTTATTCATGAAAAAGAAAAGGAAGGAATTGTTAGATTGGAATTGCATGTACCAAAATGAGGTGGGCAAAAAGAAAGTGGTGTGTTTAGGGATTTGGATTGGGGAATTGATGGGAAATCTTAAGCTAGGAAGTAGGCTTTCTTCTATAAATTATCAGATGTATTTAGATTTTCCCATTTTAATGCAAGGTACCCATTTGGATATTAGCTTGAGTTTGACTATTTATTGATGTCTAAAACAATTGTCAAAGACTTCATTTAATGGATTAAACCATATTTCACTTGATTTTTGTTCTCCAAATTGGGCCCATATAATTTTCATGTGTCGATTCAAATATTTATTTTTCGGTTTGAGTTTATTTCTCAAGGCAATGGGAAACTCTAAAGAAAATAAAAAGTCACAACAATCAATATCGCCACCAATTCTTGCAATTCTCATCACCTAAACCATCTTGCAATCACTACCATTACCACCACATTGTTTCAACCATCACCAGAATTGCCACCATTATCGGCGCTATCGTTATCGTATAACAATTACCCAAAAAAAATTCTTGAAAGGATGGAGAAACAAGATTCCATTGTGAAAAAGAAAGTGACTAAATTGTTGCCAAATTTTCCAATAAATAGTACCCAAAAAATTCTTGAAAGGACAGAGAAACATGATTCCATTGTGATACAATCCACTCAATAATATTAGTATGAGAATGAGGAGTAGTAACACCAAAGTCTTTGAGACGATTCCATATTTAATTTGAATACCGACATGAAGAAAAAAAAATGTGCGTAAGAGTTTCAGGAAAAAAAAAATTACAAACATTACATATATTGGAAATATGAGTAAAATGAGAAAGTCGGTCTCTAGTATTAGATCTTCTTTGTAAAAACAAGCAAGAAAATATATAATTTTGGGAGGTCTCTTTAATTTCCAAATTCGAGGAAATAAGAGTATGCTTGAGCATTATTATGGTTAATTCGAAGACGTGTAGCTGAATTAATAGAGAAATTACCAGAAGACGGAGTTTTTATCATATATATATGCAAAATTTGGCCCATACTTTCATAAATATCAAGTTTTTGTAAAAGCTTTCAAGCATAGCATAATACTCACTTAATAGAAATAAATGCCCTCAAAACTAAAACCCATATTAACCTAAAAAACAAAACCTTAGATAAAAATTTGGGAATAAAATGCACGTTTGTAGAGAGTTCTAGACCTATTACCATGGTCAAACAATGAGTGTAATTTTTCCTTTCATACGTTTCATTGATGCCATGACAGGATACATTCCAGCAGCTCGTTCTTTGTAAAAGACGATTCGTTTAGGGCCCCTTTGATAACCATTTCAATTTTATTTTTCATTTTTCATTTTTTGTGGTAGTGCATAGAGGAAAATGAAAGTGAGAATGTGAGTGAGTATGAGATTGAGAGAGAGAATGAGAGGGGAGGAGTAACAAAAGTGAAAAAAAAAAAATTCAAATAGATCTCAAGTTTTAGTTTTAGTTTTCACTTTCGTTACTCATCCCTCCCATCCTCCCCTCTCATCTTCCCTCTAAATCCCATCTCCACTCTCATTCTCACTTCCATTCTCCCTCTTGTTCCTCTATATTTTAGCACCCAAAAAAAAAATTTAATAAAATAACTAAAATTGAAATGGTTATCAGTGATTGTCATGTCATTCTTAATACCAAGAAAGAGAACATCAGCATACATAGAACCAATTGCATTGAAGAGATCATGTGCCTTTAACAAATCCAAATTTACAAATGCAAGAACATGATCATCTTCGCTGAACCTAGTTTACTTGTGCACAATGACTTACATTTTAGAGCTAAGGTTGTGGGAACACATATTTTGGCAACCAATAGATGGACGACATGTGGAAAAGGAATATTCCTTAGGTAAACTGATTACCCTAATTAAATCTATTTAATTAGGGAAATTATATTTGGTTTAAGATGGGGATGTCTCCCCCCAAATCAAGGATGAGATTTCCATCAAATCTCTTTGATTAATTCCAATCTCCTATTTATGGGTAAGAATAATGCTAACCAAATAAGGATTATTCTTCAAACCCTAGCCTACAAGGAGTATAAATACATGGCTTCATCACACATATTAGGTAATATGATCTCTACCCTTGAAACACCCTCTCTCTCACTCCACTCTCTTCCTCACGGCTCCGGCCAACTGGCTCTCACAGTGAGAGAAGACCTCCATTACTCCGATCTTTTCACAGGGATCAAGGAAGAAGAGAGAGAAGGAAGCTCGAAGGGTAAAGAATCTATATGCGAATATTCCCCATGCAAAAATTTACTCAAACATATTTGGTGCTATTATCGAGAGATTCGAGATATACTTAATGCGATGCTCTCAGAATCCAAATCAAGGGAAATTCGTTTCCTCCCTCATAAATCGAATCCGTCGTCGATCCAAAGCCTTCAAATCACCATGGTGAGAGGCCCCACCTCAAGGAACACAACGAGAACGACCACCGCATCACCAGCGAAATTCTCTTAACCCACCCATGGCCACAGTGAACACATCTTTTTTCTAAAAAAATCTTTTTTTTCTGTGAGACCAAAACAACCAAAAAAATTGGAATTTCATATACAAAATTTTGGGCATTTATCAAAACCCCCATAGACATGCCTACAGCCAAGCGATACATAAGCAACAAAAATATAAAAGACATGAAGCAATAGCTTGCTCCTTCACTAGCACCGGCCATTTAGCCACCACTTGCAACACGGCCCATCCCTCCATGACTAGGGGTCTCCGACCTCCAAGCCCAAGGGCTCGCGCGGTCACCAGCTCAGGCACGATCGGAAATTTCTCCATAACCGTTGTAATCCTTGGAATGACGCCTCTGCCCATCGTTTCATCGAGTCGACACATCATTGAACTCAGGGATGTCTAGGGAGCGAAAGTTGGGGCGAAGAGCTCTGATCTGTTGCTGTGAATAACTAGGCGCAACAAAAACTAGAGGTCTCAGCCAAGCTTCGATCGAAGACCTTCTCGGTGTCTCCTTGCGACATCGTCGGCATCATTAGAATCGTCTACCTCTGAACTGCACGAATCTGGAAGGGCACCGACATTTGAAGCCAAAATATGGATGACGCACCATCTACAGATTCGCCAGACTTTTAATATTTTAACCCAATATTAACAATTAATATTTTATTTTGGAATTATTGTACATGTCTTTTTTGATATTCTTATTATTTGATCAAGGCTCAAGTGATATCATAGTTGGCATATATTCATGCTTTTATCATGCCTGCTAATTACATTTTATCACTAATGATCAGGAAAATACTAAACGACTTGGTGACCAACCTAAAAATCCTCGGTCAACCCGATCAATGATTCTCATGTCAACTTGATCCATGATCATCCGATCGATCCAATCCACGATCCGTCGATCAACCCGATACATGATCTTTAATCGAGGTCAACTTGTAGCCGAAGCCAAAATTCTCAACAATCCAGCTCACAACCCACGGCCGAGGTTGAGATTTTCATCCATGACGGGCCCACAACCTCCCATCACAACAATCTTGGCGCCATTGCGACCTATGGTCCGGTTGTGGAGCAAATATGATCATTCCCTCCTTTGCCACCATGATTGACTTTCGTGGCTTGCACGTACACCTCCAATGAAACCCTAGCCCTCGTGCAATTGGGCTCCACACAATTCTTTCCTTCTGATCCATGTAGTCAAGCAAACCTCAATCTTAGAGTTGACTAGCGAACTTAAAGAGTAAACAGCCAAAACAACTTAGTTGGACATCTCCTCCGACAAATTGACTTGGTCCAAGACCTTGGCCTTGGATCCCAAAGCAAATAGAGAATGGTTGACGAATGCACCGGCAGACAATTCGAGAGGTTTAAAGCAGGTCAAGCAAGAACCAGCAAGTGATGAGGAGAACAAGAACGCGCTGTTTAGCACGCAAGCATGTCACAAACATCCACGAGACCCGATTAGAGTAGATAGAGTATCCGTTTGAGGCTAGGTTCTAGGACCAACACTCACTCAAGGCTAGGAGCATTGTTCGATATCCATGCCCTTTTGGGCCCACGAGGAAGTGTTCACTCAAGGCTAGGCCTTCAAGGAGATCAACCTTATGGCCCTCTTCATGGAGAAAGTAAGGGAAGATGCTCAC